ACACACACACACACACACACACACACACACACACACCATGTTCATGCACACACAATTAAACAAAGAACCACACACGCATGCATAATTTGCCCACACCATCTCATTTTTGCATTTCTCTCTTTATAGCATATTTGAAGGTTAAGGAAAGTGCTGGAAATCAGACAGACACACACACACACACACACACAAACACACCACACGCACGCACGCACGCTTGCGCGCGCGCACACACACACACACACACACATGTACTTGTGTTTTTTTGTGAAACAAGTTTTTATTCCCTGAATGTTGACTACTTTTACACAAACGTATGTTGAGCGTTCTGTTTTGGACAGTTTTTTTTTTCTCATAGTAAGAAACTTTTATTTTGTATTGGAATTTTGGAGACTGGTATTTTTTCCCGACTTTGCGAGTGGTTAGAATGCGCCAATGGTAGGTCCTATTTTTTTTCTTTCCATTAACATTGTTGTTTCTGTCTGTTTGTCTTACATCTTCCCTGCATTAAATGACCATTATTGTGTCGATGTGCTTCTCTTTACTCAAACTAAAAACTAAAAACTCAACCTATTGTCTGTTTAATTTAATCCCTTCTTTTCTTATTCCACAGGCACTTTTGAGCTTTCGTCTGAATCTGAAGAGGATATCTATGAAGTAATCAACATCAGTAAGATCAAAGCTCATACTCCAAACCTGCGTGTGGTCAACCTGTATGGGATTACCTTTCTGGACGACTCGCACATCGAACTGCTGGCTTCCAACTGCATCCATATTGAGTGTCTTGCTTTGAATTTCTGCTTGCGAGTGAAAGGAGCATCGTTTAAGAATCTTGTTCAACGCTGCAAAAAGTTGAAAAGTTTACTTTTGCACCATGCAGGTATGACGCTTTTCCCAATTTCAAGTTCCATATGTTCGTTAAGAGTTTGTATAAATGCAAACTGTGTGACTTTGTACCATGTCTGTTACTGTTGGGTGGGTAAGCAGAGGGATTGGATGTTCATCATGACAGTAAATGGAGAGGGATACAAATAGATAAAATTTGGACAGACAGACAGAGCTACAGACAGGAGGAGAGGGAGAGAGAGAGAGAGAGAGAGAGAGAGAGAGAGAGAGAGAGAGAGAGAGAGAGAGAGAGAGAGAGTTGTTACTTCAGAGATTTCCTTTCCTGTATTAATCGTGTTATTAGCTATTGAACGTGGAACATAAAACTGACCGCATGTATTCCTTGTCCTACTATATGCCGGGAACCTGGCTCTCATAGATCCCTTTTGTTGTGGGGCATCTGGGTGAAAGGAGAGGCAGGTGGATGTACTTGAGCACCGGTATCTTCCGTTGTGTTGTTATAATTGTTACTTAAGTATTGGTATTTTTCCGTTACGTTATGTTGGTGAGACTGATCGATAAAAGTGCTATCAAGACATTTATATCTTCAATTGCTGGACGTGGACAGTTTCGTGAGAGGGTCATTCCATGATTAATGAAACTGCAGTGCCTCACGTAATGCGGGAACGATTACTTGCTAAAAATGTCCTATCATTGATTTGATGAGCCTTTTATTTGTTGGGTTTTTTTGTTAGAAGGTTGCCTAAAATTAAGAAAAAAAAGAAAGAAAGAGAAAAGGAAAAGGGAGAAAGAATAGTTCTGTCTCTGCTCAGAATTTTATTTTCAACTGCCAGTTTGTTTTGTCACAATGCAATCTGTCTGACCTTGTACAATGTCGGTTGTAAGATCTCCTGTGTTACGTGTATCCCTGCAGTTTTATTTTTCCATGAAGTAGCCATAGCCTAACAGTCTTAGTTAGCATTGCGCAAACAAGTCACTCCGCTACAGAGGCAGGCCAGAACCATGTTGCTGCTAATGCTATCGTAGTACACGCAGTTAATGGAGGTAGTTTATCGCATCCCTGTCTAGTGGACCAGGGGCAAGCGAGAGGGGTTGATGAAGACTCATTGGGGGTTAGTAGAGAAGGTGAGGTGTGTGCTTCGCCTGGCTCGTCCCCATTGCGTGTGGTTCTTTTAGCTCATCAGTAGCATCTTCTTTTGGTGTTTTTTTCGGTGGTTGGCGGGTACTCGGATATGGTTTGCTTATTCTTTCCTCCTATCAAACTTCGAATGCCTTTTTCTTTTCCCCTTCTTGTGTTTGTATGTTACTCTCCAGTGACTTATTTGTGCTGTAAGTGTCGTAAAACTCTTACTGAAACTAAACTGACTTTCGGTTCCCGTCAAGCCAGTCATAGCACCGGCAAGAATAGTTGTGTGGCAGTTGTGCAAGCAGGAGTAGTTGTAAAAATAGGAGGGGTAGAAATAAACTTTAGCCTTCTCTTCGGAACTTACTTGATGAAGTAAGCGTACCCGAGTCTCCACTTAATCACTGCTCAGATTTTTTCCCCCTAGCAAGTCATCCATCATCTCCGTGCTACGTGTTTCGTATTAAATTAGTGGTGCCACTTTTGGATCACCTCGATATCGTGCGTGAAAGACGCTTGTAACTTATTTTAAAATGGGGCCGGCTCGAAACTTATTTTTGTCGTAGGAAGGTCAAACAAACACCTTTTGCCCGATTGGATTAGTAGTGGGTATGGTGAGGGCTCTCTCTGGGGGCTTGAAGGCTTCTTGTGGATGTCGCACACCGTAAAGACAATTCAACAAATGGAAATTGATGAGAAGGGCTAGCTGTAGTAAAGATGAAAACAAGTTACTTTCTTCTCGATTGTGAAGAGTCCTTGTTTAGTTAAAATATTTAACTGTTTTTTCGACACTTGAGTCTGTTTTTTGCATGGTACGCTGCAGAAGGAGGATGAAGGAGGAGTGGGAGAAGGGAGGAGGAGGGAGGAGGAGGAGAGGAAGGGTACTGTTGGAGAAGGAGTAGGAGGAGGGTGGTGGTGTTTGTGGAGAAGGAGGAGAAGGGTGGAGATTGAGGAGGAGGAGGAGGAGGAGGAAGAGGAGGAGGGGGTGGTGGTGGTGGAGGAGGAGGAGGAGGGTGGTGATGGAGAAGAAGGAGGAGCGGGGAGAAGTAGGCTGATGTAGTCGTGGTTATACGTGTTGTCTCCTCGTTAGAGAATGATGAGTGTGCTTCGTGTGCCGTGATGGATTCAATCAACCTGGATTCGGTCCTCCGGAAAAGGTAATTTGATTCACAAGTGTCTTGCACTGCGACTTGCGCGTGTATTGATTTACAGACCTAATTTCGTGAAAAGCTTTGCAGAGAAGATCCCACATGGACGAATGCCTGCATGTATAATGATAGGGTGAAGAGGTGTATAGAGGTAGAATTAAGTTGAAGCTGTATGCATCCGGGGTAAAGAGAGAGAGAGAG